TCTCTCTCTCTCTCTCTCTCTCTCTCTCTCTCTCTTATCATATGATATGATATAATTAAGTAAATATAAAGTACACAGGGTAGTTAACGATATATTTAGCTTAAGTCTTTATTGATTATATAATAATATAATATTTATGGTGACTGTCTGGATAAAAATCAAACACCCATATGTCTGAGAGTAAATCGGGGTTAGTTTTTGTGAATATTTATTTTGAATTGTCCATTAATAATTTAATAGGGTTAAATCAGTTATGTATAGTAAATTTAACTATGACAAAATGACTAGGAAATAATTATATTTATATCTTAAAAGTTAGTATATAATTGTTAGTACGTAAAATAAAATAACATAGACATATTATTAAATAATTATAATGATGTTACAAAAAGTATTAAATTAAATATAAAACAAAGTCGGTTACTTGCTAAGTCCATTATTTATAAAAATTGGCAACAAATTAATATACATGGCGATGCATTTAAATAGTTAGTACAGTTTTCATTCTATTAGTTATTAATTATTAAAATTAATATTATGATATTCACAAAATTATTTTTAACAACTTACAAAATCTAAAATAATATTACTAATAAGTTTAAATAATTTCATGTCATATTAAATTACCATGCTAAATGTGTGACTTAATATATTTTAATTGTTACATAAAGACACGGATTATTGGAAATTCTCAATCGATGAGATGATTGAATACGACTTCCCGGCGCTCATTGATCACATACTCAGCGCAACCAAACATAGTATGCATCTAAATATTACACTTTACTTTAATTATTATAATTATAATTTTGTCTAAAAGAGACCCTGAGCTATATCGGTCACAGTCAGGGCACGATCATGATGTTTGGTCTGTTGGCCTCTAAACTCCAGTACAACAATATAATAAAGCCATTCATAGCCCTGAGTCCGGTCTCATTCCTGGGCCACTCGACTACACCGCTTATATATATGACATATTTTGAACGTCTCTACCGGTTAATAAGACAATTATGTTTAATTTTATAATTTATATATTATTAATGATTATAACTAGCTCATATCCAACATCTCTATTACATCTGGGTAAAGTGCAACAATTTTACGCCCAATTGTGTGAAAACTATTATATGCAAGGCTTTTGTCAGAAAATTTTTTACGCCATCATGGGTTTCGGTGCACATCATATGGATTACGTAAATATAATTTATTATATTTAATTCTCTCAATTAAAAGGTTTATGTATGAAATGAATAAAATATATAACTTATTATATATTATATATGTTTTTAGATTCTGCCAAAATAATTTTATATAACACAATAGTCAAAATAAATGAAGATTTTAAAATACAATTACAGTTTAATGACACATAATAAATATTCATTATATTTAATAATAGAAATTCTATATTTGATTAACATTAATATATTATATAATGATCAAAAATTAGCAGACACATACAAACAAAATGTGTAATCAGAGTTTATAACTATATTTCACTAAATATTTAAATATAATATTATAAAAATTTACAGGCATAACCGCGCTAAAACCATATTTATTAAAAAAATGTGATAAATTGAATAAACATCAAATACTGGATTACAGTTTATTATTTGACTTTAGAAAGAGTTATTTGACCATCAATACTGAATAAGCTGATATTATATAATTAAAACTTAGTAATTCTATTATTTATTACCTGAATATAATTTAATTTACATAACATCATGGTTAGTCTAGAATCGGCTCATTCCTGGCTACCATCCCCTCGGGGTCGGGCACGTGGGCGGGCACTCATTTGCTACAAAAACTCATTACAAAAAGGCCCACAAAATTTGATTTCGGAGAGTCCGGTAATATTGAACGGTATGGCCAACCGGTGCCGCCCGAGTACGACCTCTCGGCCATTAACTCCACAAACATAGCGCTGATATACGCGGCCAACGATTGGCTCAACGATATTAAAGACATTGCCGTACTTAAGGGTACGCTAAAAGGTAAAAAATGATTACTTTATTTATACATTATTATGGACAAATTTATAAATAAATTATGGTATTTTGTATATTAGTGAAATTACTGGATGATTATTTAGTGCCGGACCCGACGTGGAATCACATGGAGCTGATGTGGGCCCGGGATGTCGGCAAATATGTCAACACTAGGATAATCGACATTTTGGATAAATGTTAATAAATTTGAATTAATGGTTGATTTTTGTACGCTCAATAATATTTTGAAAGAATAAAAATTATTTTATATGTTATATGGTATTTGATGTTCCTGTTATATTTATTTTAGTATGCTAAATATTAAAATATTGCAAATACATTTTAGCAGCATAAGATAATAATTATTGGCTATTAGTTTTATAATTAAGATACAATATATTATCAATAGGCTAGGATTACATCTAGGATTATAAATAGTATTTTAGTCATATATAATGTGACTGCTATGAGTGGTGGGGTTTAATGAAATGTGTGATTCATAATTATATTAAACAAAAATGAATTAGGTTTTAAAAGCATTCACTTATATTTCAAGGGCAGATAATAATTAATTTAATAGTAACTTTTATACTGTATCATTATTCGCTATAAATAAAATTCTGCCTGTTCCTACAATATATTCATTTAATTTATGTTATGCTATCTTATACAATATGAACATGACATCAAATTTTAATTAATAATCTATGAAATATATCTATAAATAACATTATATCTAATTATCAAATTTATTTATTTAAAAATAATATTATCTGTATGCAGTTATACATGTATATGCTAATATATTTTGGTAAGCTTGTGTTATATATCAAACTGTTCAGTATAGGTTAGTTTTTGTTTAAAGATCACAATTTTATTAATTAATTTTAAAAATAATTTGTATATCACTTATTATTTTTTATTTAATTATATTTTTAATTATTTATACAAAAATATTTTTATTATTTATATATAGCAAGCAATATACAAAAATTAAGAATAAATTATTGAGTTTTAAACTAGATTTAGCAAAATTGTATAATATAACATTATAAAAATTAAGAAGGTTTAGACCAGGACCAAAAGATTATTTATCGAAAATTATATGATAAATTAAATTAATATATAATAGTGTTTACAGTTTATTGTGTAACTTCATAATAATTTATTTAAACGGAAATATGAAATAGGCTACTGTTGTTTAATAAAATAAAAACTCGTCAATTTTATTATTTATTAGGTAAAGATAATTTGTTTTGTTCATCATCGTGAACAATCTAAACTGATCATGATCATATATATAAAGTAAAATATATTAATGTAATATATAATAAAAAAAATTATTGTGTTTTTATTAAATAATATTAGCCTATTTAAAATTGTAATATAAAAATTAATAAGTGACGCAACAAACTGTAATAAATTATTTTATGTGTATTAAGTTTATTACATTATTTTCGATAAAGTTAATTTTGGTAGTGTATTGGTCTATGGATATTTTTATAGTATTATTTTCTAACATTAAATTTAATTTAGTATACAACTTGGACAACACATCTAATTTGTATGTTGTTAACCAATTTTGCCATTAATTTATATATTAATTATAATGATACATAATGTACATTTTCTTCTATTTTATATTATATAATGTATATGTAAACTGTAAACTTTAAACTGTAATTGTATTTTACAATTTTTGCAAGCATTGACTATCAGGTGGCACATACTAAAGGGCCCGGACGTCACGGGCCCACTCAATTGATCACATATAGTTAGCCTGTGATGTCCGGCAAAATAAAATTGACCACATATTGTGAGCCTGTTATGTCCGGCAACATTATATTGAAACATAAAGTGAACCAGTGATGTCCAGACACATTAAATGACTACATATAGTGGGCCCGGACGTCACGGGCCCACTCAATTGATCACAAATAGTAGCTTGTACTGTCCGAGCACACTCAACTGACCATATATATATAGTCGCCTATGATGCCCAGGCCTACTTAACTGACCACATATAACAGGCTAGTGATGCCCAAACCTACTTAATTGACCATTAAGGTGGGCCCAAACGTCACGGGCCCGGGCCCTTTAGTAGATGCCCTATCAGGTAATACAAAATTATTTTTTGGAGAGTTATTCGAAGTGGCATATAGTTTTATTTATTTTATACATAGACCTTTTAATTAAAATAATTAAAAGCAGTGAACAACATTTGCGATATCAAAGACATTGCCGTACTTAAGGGTATATTTAAAAGAATTATCTATGTATCGCTCATATGCAACCTCGCTATTACATTTGGGTAAAGTGCAACAATTTTACGCCCAATTGTGCAAAAATTATTATATGCAAGGCTTTTGTCAGAAAATTTTTTACGCCATCATGGGTTTCAGTGCACATCATATGGATTACGTAAATATAATTTATTATATTTAATTCTCTTAATTAAAAGGTTTATGTATGAAATGAATAATATACAAGTTGTATATATAAGTAATGATATAATATATTATGTTATTAGATCATGTCAAAATGATTTTATATAACACAATAGTCAAAATAAATGAAGATTTTAAAATACAATTACAGTTTAATGACACATAATAATTCAACTGATCATGATCAGCCTAGAATTGGCTCATTTCTGACTACCATCCCATTGGGGTCAGGCACGTGGGCGGGCACTTATTTGCTACACAACTAATTACAAAAAGGCCCACAAAATTTGATTTCAGAGAGTCTGGTAATATTGTCCGGTATGGCCAACCGGTGCCGCCCGAGTACGACCTCTCGACCATTAACTCCACAAACATAGCGCTGATATACGCGGCCAACGATTGGCTCAACGATATCAAAGACATTGCGTACTTAAGGGTACACTTAAAGGTAAAATAAATGATTACTTTATTTAAAAAATTATAATGGGCAAATTTATAAATAAATGATGGTATTTGTCTATTAGTGAAATTACTGGATTATTATTTAGTACCCGACCCGACGTGGAATCACATGGAGCTGATGTGGGCCCGGGATGTCGGCAAATATGTCAACACTAGGATAATCGACATTTTGAATAAATGCACATAAATTTGAATTAATTTTAGATTGATTTTGTACGCTATATTATATTTTAAATGATAAATTAATAAAAATTAATTGCCATAAAAGTCCTGTAATATATTTTATTAAATAAAATATTTGAATATTGCAATTATATTTTGAAATCATACAATAATAATTATTGGCTATTGTAGTCTTATGATAAAGATATGATGTATTTATTTAATGTGGTATGTATTATATAACAAATAAAGAACACATATTTTTACGTTAATTTTTCTTTTAAATTTAAAAATCGAGATTATTTAATACCAATGTCGAAGTAAACTTTATTGTATTAGGTGTATACAAAATGGCAATTATTAATCAAGAAAGTGTGAATTCCTTTAAAAAGTTTATTATTGTATAGATAACATGATTATATTATTTAATTATTATTGAAAAATTAAAGAATTTTTAAATAAAGAAACATGACCAGACAAGCGGTTTAATCAATAATTTATAAATATTTCACCTAAAATTAAAAAAATAAACGATCATTGTTGATGCTTAAAAAACCGTGGCAGATTAGTCATTCTCATTAAAAATTACTATATTAATTACTAGATTTTATCATTCTAATACTTTATTGTTAAAAATAATCCACATCCCCTCCTTACAGGCCAATATTGTAATATAACCATTAAATATATTATCTCAATAAAAATATAATTTAATTTTACAATCTGTATTCGTATATTCGTATATTGATATATGCTACATTATTATATACTAAATATTTTTAATTTTTAACCACTATTCTGATAGGAATAATGTGGTTTATAGGATCGTTCGGCTACCCCCTCCCCCCGGCCCCCACCCTATGGGATTTAACATGGGATTACAGCTTAAGTATATGGCTATACTTTAACATGGGATTCTTGAGTCTATGGGGAATTAACATGTGATTACAGCATAAGTCTATGGATATACTTTAACATGGGTAATGCTAAGTCTATGGCAATGCTAATCCTATGGACAATGTTAAGTCTTCGACATAGGAATAACATGGGTAATGCTAAGTCTATGGACAATGATAAGTCTATGGCATATAGATAACATGTGTAATGGTATATTAATGGGACAATGGAATTATAAATTAATCTGCCATAATGAATAGAACTAATTGTTAATTTATTTGTACTTTTAGATGCTAAACCGAACAGAACAAAACAATAATTGCAATATCAAAGATAATCAAGAAATTTGCAATTTTGAACCTATTCATTTTTATTTTAGTCCAGGATTAACAATTGTTGCTTCAAGTAATTCCTAATATGATTCATTAAATATTAAATAATACTAATAATTTTTATATATTTTTTCATCTATAAATGAAAATGAACATGAACAAATTATTTCAATTATGCAACATATTTATACTTTAAAATCTGAATATTTGCTTCAATTAAACGACTATTGGTTAATAAATAATAAAACTGTGTTCATACAATTGGAGTATTGTTCGCAAACTCTATGTGATATTTTAAGTGCCAAACATATGATATTTAAAGAACCTATTACAATACAAAAGACAATGATTTTAATTGATTTCCTGATTTCAGTAGAATTGTTGAGACAATTATTACATAGTATTCAAGCAGTGATTGCTTTGGATATTGATATAAAAAATATCTCGCTTAACACAAAACAGATATTCATAAACACAAATTATCAAACAAATGAAAATTGCATAAAATTATTTTATGATAAATATAAAAATATTGATATCAATAACAAATTATTTACTACGCTTAAATACAGCAAAGTCAATAAAATTGGACAAATTGCCAATAAGTTATTTGAAATACAACAAAGCTATATATGGTAAAAATAATTATAAAGTTCAAATTAAAATTATTACTTAACAATATAATATAATGTTATATAAATTATAGGGTACACAAAGATTATACATCTGAAATTTGGTATACGTTTGGTATACATGTATCTAAAATAGAAGACTTTATTAATTGCTTGTCCAAAACTGAATCGCGAGATATTTCAAATATAATGAATCAATTTAATGGTACTTTTGGTGAAACGAACGTATTACTCGATGATGTACAAGCTCAATTGTTATATTCAACATGGTTGAATATGAAACACCAAATACTTTCCAACGAGTCTACATCACAGCAAACGAATTATAATTCAATTTACAAGTTTTTCAAAAATATTCTTCAGCAACAAAAAGAGTATGTAATTAATTAATTTGGAATAAATTTACCCACGAAATGTTTTATAATAAATCAATGTACAATAATAATATATATTAAATAGATTTAAGCCGACAATTAATTCGTATTTTCGATTACCTATTGATAAACTGCAAACCAAGAATAAGGTAAGAAATCAACCATTTGCATATTAGATACAAACATAAACAAACATAATTAAGTTAAATTTTGAAAAAATATTACATTGAAATTTAGAAATTTTATATACGATATTTTTACAACAAAAAATTGCATACATAAAATATTTCGTTTATTAAAATAGTTAATTAACAATAATACTACCATGGCACTACCATCAGATATTATTCAAATAAAAGTTGAGAACACGAATCAACAAATTAATAATGATGAAAATTCTGGAGCGTATGAAAATACACAATTAAATAATAATGTATCAATCACAAAACAAATTAAAAGTGAACATAATATTTTGCAACAATTAGAGCATTTTAAAGTAGAAAATATTACATCTAATGATGAAAATGACCAAACTAAACAAAACCATTTAATGTTTTTAAATATTATTAAGCCACTACTTTTGAAGCGAAATGAATTTATAATTTTAAATAAAAATATTAATATTAGCACATTACATTCATTTAAAAAACCACCATGGCAAACTATCAAATTAACCATTAATAATCAAAAATATACTGGTCATTTTTCTACACTAAATGATATGGAATTTTTATCAAGTTTTTTATTATATGATGCACTATGGGCAATTATTAATAAATATAAAACATTATGCTCATTTTGTGTTTTGAGAATGGAATGCATTCAACATGTGTTTAATAGAGAGATAGAGCCAATATATCAGTAAGTTAATTATCACGTTCATCTTAATTATACAACTATTTATTAATTACAATATTTTAAACAGCGAAATTCTAATAACAAGATGTCTAAATAAACAAATCATCATAATACCAATATTTGGTCAATTTATCTATCATCCCATCAAAGATCATTATTATGTAGCCATCATTGATCTTTATTCAAAACAAATCACCTTGATGGATAGCCTGTTAATCTCGAGAACTATTCATGATTATAGATTTGCATTTTACGCCCTGTTGCAGATAACGCACATCATTTACCAATCGGCTCAAATAAATGTCAAGCTCGATGAATTAAAATAATAATTGCAACCGACTCATACCAACAAACGTAAGACTATTTAAGATAATTAAATTAAGCATAATAAAAAAAGTATTTAAAAATTTTTCTAGCACTGGATATACATGCGGTGATTCAGTCATATTGAATGTGAACTGTTTAATGGAGGGCATATTTTTGAATAATATTGATAATATAAGAAATGTAAGGGCTTACATTAAATCACTGGTCGATGAGAATGATGCTAACCATGGTGATGCCCAATTGGAGTTTGAAATTAATGAAATACCTTCGTTTGCGGAACTAACCTCTATGATAATTAATCAAGATTGTATTGAAACTTATTTTACAAACGTTGCTCATTGTATTGTTAAACAATACAAATCAATGAAGTGTGATCTTGATGATTGTGAGATTTTAAAGACACACGATAAATTTATTTGTGTTATATGCCGTAAAGTGTATCATAAAAGCCATACAAAATTAATGATTGACATTGAACATTCTACTCATTTCAAAAAATGCGCATGTACAATTGATGATAATTAATGAAATTATAATTATTTGTTAAAAATTCAGTCGAACTTCTCTATGATATTTAATTTCCAATATAACTATCCAATTCAACAGTAAAAATAAAAAATTTAATTTATGTTTTAATTACGAAAAAACTATTATTATTACTATTGGCTTAAATGAAAACCTCGTTCCCTCAATACGAATTAGTGTAGATTGAATTCTGAATTTAGTTTCATAATTTAAGTTGACATCTCTAGGCACCAGAATCCAAATCTCATCAAGATCGGATGAATAGTTATTGAACAGGATTTTATCAAAGTTTGTCAGTCGTTTTAATGTATTCCTATGGGAAGGGGTCTGTTTTTGTATTGACCGATGGTTGAAATAATAGTTAAATTGATCATGTTCAAATACTAATAGAGCATATAATGCCAGAAAAGTGGGGAAATTGTTTTTAATGAAACGTATATATTGAATCATCAAGGTATTTTGGCAAAATTAATATACACTATATGTGAATAACATATGAATAGTATATGAATAA